TTCTTTCAAGATCATGCTCAGGTTGAGATAGTAAGACATCATTTTAAATATGTAGAAGAGGAGGAATATTGAAAGGAGCAGCAAAGTTTTAGTGGCATAACCAGTTTTCCTTATGTTTGTGCAAACAAGACACTGAAGTATTTATTGACATTCTAAATGTGACAAGTACTTATCTAAAAGTGTCAAAAAGAGAAAGGCAAATGCTTCACTTTTACCCATATGATGTGATTTACTTATATGCTGTCATAGTTCAAAAATGTTGTTAAAATCTCTAGAAGTAAAATATAGTTTGGTCAACAGAAAGAAGGAAAGAAAGAAAGAGAAAGATAAAAAGAGAGAAAGAAAGAGGAAGGAAGGAAGGAAGGAAGGAAGGAAGGAAGGAAGGAAGGAAGGAAGGAAGGGAGGGAGGGAGAGAGGGAGGGAGAGAAAGAGAGAGAAAGAAAGAAAGAAAGAAAGAAAGAGAGAGAGAGAGAGAGAAAGAAAGAAAGAAAGAAAGAAAGAAAGAAAGAAAGAAAGAAAGAAAGAAAGAAAGAAAGAAAGAGTATAAACTTCTGGGGGCGGTCAGGGAGAGGCCCTGACATCTCTCCCCCTTGCCGCTTGGGTTCGGGGTGCCTGAGGGATACCAAAAGGAAGGGCAGACAGAAGGAAACGAGGGTCAATCTGTTTGATTGATCAGTTGCCATTTATTCCATTCTCTCCACGTGCCTTCTCCAGTCTCTCTGAGGCCCCCATTCTGGTCTCAAACTGCCCCTCATTCCGGCCTCCTACTGTCTCTCCCGCTCATCTCTCTGCGCCCCCTCTTGCAGCCTGCTCCTTCTCTCACCTCTCTCCAACTCTTCTGTCTCTCCAACCATTACGTATCTTTCCTTGACCTCCAGCACTCTGAGCCCAACTATATCCAGTCAGGTAGCAAAATCAACATAAAAAAAAAAACCCTTCCTGACTGCCAGCTCAAGGGCAGAAATACCACCTAGGGATATTCCAAAACTCTTCCTGACTGTCCATGGGTAAAAATACCTCTTAAGGTGTTTTTCTACTTAGTACAATCACTCAATCAACTTCTTTTCACTGTATCATCCCCTTGATCATCAATTTACTCAGCAAGTGCCAGTATGTCTCTGTTCCTCCAAGTCCTGAGATTTTAGCAGGCTCTTCTCACTCATATTTTCCCAGTGATTAGCGGCTCTTTAAGGGCCAGGGGAATGCAACCTGTTGTCATTACTGTACTTGGCATATCGAAAACGCCATGGGAAGCTTTCCAGGCTCTGTCCATGTGGGCGGGATACTCTCAGTAGCTTGCTGGGCTCTCCAAGAGGCATATATATATATATATATATATATATATATATATATATATATATATCTTTGATTTGCTGCCTACTGTCTGAATCCCATCAGGTATGACGTAGTAATTATGGAAAATGGGTAAGAAGTGTCCTATAATGTGTCGCGCTGCCATGCGGTCCAGAAAGCAGCCTGGAGTGTGGCGGTGGCTCGGTAGTGGGGGGTCAGCTGCCGGGGCTAGGTCCCTTGGGGCAGGGAGGGCTCTCACCTGCCCCACAGCATGGCGCGGAGTCCAGCCATAAGCATTAGAATTCATAAATCTGCATTTTGGTTCTCTAGATCACAATTCTATTCCTGCTATCCTCAATAAGATACTAAAAATCGGAAAATATTAAAACAAAACAAAAAGCCCACCTAAGTCCCATTTCCTATTTCAACTCAGGGAGTGAAACTTAGTTTTTGTTGAAAGAAGTTTACTGGAATGAGGAAGAAGAGGGTGAGAGAAACAGGTTCCAGAGAGGGACACAGCTTCTCCAAGTGGAGAAAGACTCCCTTGGTTTTAGAACATCTCCAAATGCACAACCCTGTTGAGGAGCCAAAGTTCTTCATAAACTTATATGACAATGGACTATGGACTAGCATGCAAGGACCCATTAGGCATTTACTGACATGAGTGCTTCCTGTCACCCTTTGAGGGATGACCAGGACATCAACATTAAATAAACACAATTTGTGTTTTCATGCAAGAACTCAGCTTACTCAGAACCTTTATAGTATACATTCGAAGTATACATTTCATATGCTAGTGCTTAGGGCGGGTTGGAGCAATAGCACAGCAGGAGGGCGTTTGCCTTGCACGCAGCCAACATGGCCCACCCGAGTTCAATTCCTCCGCCCCTCTCAGAGAGCCCGGCAAGCTACCGAGAGTATCTCGCCCGCACAGCAGAGCCTGGCAAGCTCCCTATGATGTATTCGATATGCCAGACACAGTAACAACAAAGTCTCCAATGGAAACGTTACTGGGCCCGCTCGAGCAAATCGATGAACAACGGGAGGACAGTGACAGTGACAGTGCTTAGGGCTGCTCTGGGGTGCTTACCAGTATTGGCAGTTTCTTGATCAATCATGCCTCCTTCTGCAATACCTTCCAAGTCATCCACTTTTAGTTTTTACCATGGTATATAAGTAACTCCAAGATCCACATCCCAGAACTGTTTTTATTCTGTTTTGACATCTTTGTTTAAAGCCCACGCAATCTTAATAATATTAAATTTCCTACCCTGGCACCGAGATGGGCCTGGCCAAAGTGTCTAATGCTGACCTGTAAGTTAAGAGCTTGGTCATGAACAAATGATGTCATGATCCAAAAAGTAATAACTAGGTTTGAACCCTACTAGAGTTAGGAAATATTAATCTGGCCATCTGGCCTGAGCTCTGTAGTCTAAGTCTGTGAGAAAATGTTCCCGGGAGAGCTGCCCTATAAGCCTCAATGTATCTCTTACTGTGTCCATACAAAAATAACTCATATTAAGAAGGTGATAACCTTAAATCCTTAGATCTTAATTAATCTTAATTAAACTTAGATTAAATTTTCCTAACCTAGCAGGGTCCAAATCTAGTTATTACTTTTTGGATCATGACAGCGTTTGTCCATGACCAAGCTCTTAACTAATAGTTAATCATTAGGCACTTTGGTCAGGCCCATCTCGGTGCCAGGGTAGCACATAGCTTACCACTTGCCCTGGGTCCATCCAGTCCCTCATCAGGACCCTGCCTTTTGGGTGCTAGGAAGTAAGGTAAGCTGAGGCTTAGGTCAAGAGAACAGATGCCCAGGAGGGAAGGATCATTTAGAATCAAATGACCCCCACATTACAGAAGCATAGCATTTACTACTGTCTTGCTGTGCCCATATAAAAAGGACATTGCTCTAAACTAACTATGTAAGGGACTTAAGGAAGAAGAGGAAAACAATATTTATACGTCAACAGAGCACAAAGAAAGAAGTTACAAACAAACACAGAGGAATGAGAGCACTGTGATGGGAGCTACCCAATAAATCTAAACTACCTGAGGCTATGAAGGAAGGACAAAACGATGTTATCCTATAAGAAGGAAAGAAAGAAAGAAAGAAAGAAAGAAAGAAAGAAAGAAAGAAAGAAAGGAAGGAAGAAAGGAAGGAAGAAAGAAAGGAGTAGGACTATTAAGACACATTTATTTTATTTTATTTTCGTTTTGAAGACCACATCCAGTGATGCTCAGGGCTTGCTCCTAGCTCTTCACTAAAGGATCACTTTTTTCCTTCAGGGACCATATGGGAAGCTAGGGATAAAAACCTGGTAGGTTAAATGCCCTGTTCATGTACTATCACTCTGGCACTAGTAAGACATATTTAAAAGACTCTCTGTACTTGTAAAAATCAAATTTAAACGACCAATTAATTTTATTATAATTTTTTCCATTTCCATTGTTTCTATGTTAATTATAAGCATGGATAATAAAGTGTAATTTTATAAATTAGAAGGGTTTGAACATTCTGTTCTCACAAAAATAATTGAATTCTGTTTTTACAGCATACAGTTTGAATATTTCACAAATGTACCAAATTTGTTCTATCTTTAATATAATGTTTTTAAACTTCCCTCTCTCCTGTAACACTTGAGCGGACCCATTAACCAACTTGTGTACAACAATATCACTGCACTTGAACAAAATATCTTAATCAAATTGATTTAAAAATAACATTCATCTATTTCATTTGCTTTTAATCAGAAATTTACTGATTTCTAAGTATTTCTTGCTAGGCAATAGTGTGTAGGCCAGCTAAAATACATCTTGAGGGCTTGAGAGATAGTACAGTGGGTGTTCTTTAATCTTGAACACAGCCATCTGGAGTTCAATTCCTGGCATCTCTAATGGTCCCCTGAGCATTGCTAGGAGTGATTCCTGAGAAAATAACCAGAAACAAATCCTGAGCATCTCTGAGTGAGAAGCAAATCCTGAGGCTCTCAAGTGTAAACCCAAAACCAATAAAAAAATAAATAAATAAAATATAACTTGACTCCAATCAATTCAGTAAAGTTTCCTTCTGCCATGAAACTAATATCTCTCTTTTTCATCTCTATACCACATTCTTTGTTTTTCTCACTGTCCCAACATTAATCCTAGATCACTCCTCCTCTCAGTCACAGCAATTGAGATTGTTATTCACCACCAATTTAATCATATTAAATTTCTGATGGTATATGTAACTTAGAGGTAGAGTTCTTGCTTTCTATATACCAAATAAGAAATATTCCACCTATATAAAAACAGATATACTCAGAGACTTAAGATCAGCAAAAGAAAAGCTTTAATAACTATTGGCTACAGTCTTGCAAGATCCCACCAGCATATAGAAACAAAGGTTCCTTGCCATGTATATAATGTTATCTGTTATAAAGGCTGTCCTTTGTCATATAATCTTATTTTATATAATTTTTTCATAGTATAATAATTATGAAAAAAGTATTGAAATATAATAGAAGTCTAAAGAATGTAAATAGTTCTGGTAAATTATACTTTTGTTAGCACAGTTATATGATTTTTACAAAGTCAAAGGGACCCTAATGTTCAGTTCTCTGGACATTCCTGATATGTTTCTTCTGTTATTCTATCCTCTGCATGCCTCCTTCTGTCATATCATTGTCACCTTCTGAGAGTGTGTCATGTATAAGATCTTATCTGAGTTTCATCTCGCACATACAGGAATGGGACCTGTTGCAGTCATCAGTACCAATTTGGTCCTCAAATGTGTATACACAGTTCTTCTCAAATTCCACTTTCGGCTCTGGTAAATGCCTGAGAATATTAGAAAATACAAGTCACAAACACACTCATTTTACTAAAATTTAACATCATTACTAAAAACTTATTTTATGCTTTGCCACATGCTGTGGATGAAAGCATGTGAATAAAGGCACTTTTCTAAGGAATCCATAGAAGGAATAGAGAAATTGAAATATGAAACAATACTAAATATATAGTCTGTGATAAATGATACAAAAGAAGAAAGACAAAGTTCATCTCTTATGAGGGGAAGACAATGGGTTGACTTAAAGCTCTTAAAAATAGCAAAAAAGAAAGCACTCGGGGTATTATGTGTAAGCTTGGTTGGAAAGCTCTAAGTCATTTGACTCTGCTTGCATAGTTATGTGGCATATAAATATTTTGCCTTCAAATATATCACATTAAACCAAAAAGAAAAATGTTGCATATAGAGATATTCTATATATACATATCTTTATATGCATTTTAATTAGTCAATTGTCAGAGAACTGTTTAAATAAATCTTTGCTCTCTGATTTTATGTCATTTACCAAAACTATGGTATTTAAATAATTTTGCCTTTTAATATGCCACTTAATATTTCATATATTTGTATAACTGTTTTGTGTGTAAACATACCTAAATATTCTCCTGAACTATTATTACATGTAATTACATAATAATAGTTCAGTATGTAATAATATGTAATATGATGTAATATAATATATATAATATGTAATATAATGTGTAATATAATATAATATGTAATAATATGTAATAATAATAGTTCAGTATGTAATAATATGTAATAATAGTTCATGTAATTATGTGAAAATATTTTTAGGGTTCATTTTTAGGGTTCAATTTTAAATAAGGGATTTTTAATTTTTTTCCAAAATTTTATTTTATTAAATCACTGTGAGTTACAAAGTCATTCATAGTTGAATTTTTGACGTGCAATGGTTTATTACTAATCCCTCCACCAATATTAATTTCCCTCTACTGGTATTCCCAGATTCCTTTTCCCCCCTTACCTCCATCCCAATTTGTTCCAATCCTTTAAGCAAAGACTTTTGAGTAAAAAAAATAAGGATTTGACTCTTTACTAGAAACTTACAAGCTTGGAGAGGGTGAGGATTCATTGTCCCACCTCCATTCCCAGATTTCTTTCCTATAAGATAGGCCAACCCAAGTATGGCTCACGGCAAGTAGATTCATGATTATCTGCAAGGAACAAAGTTACACAAAACCATTAATACAAAAGTCTATTTGTGTCTAGTGAGAAGTTTAAAAATCAGAAAAAATTAAACTACTACAATTGAAATTTTATTTTAATTTAAAATTAAAATATTTTTATTTGTAAAAAATTTAAAAAATTTACAGTTAAAAAACTACTGAAACTATTTCAGTACTACATTTTACATTTCTCTTACTATAAATTAAATACAAAGAAAAAGAAGCTATTAAAAATGTCTATATCCAAGAAAATATTGAAATATGGATTATATCAAAATCACTTTTATTATGTATTTGATACTGTGCTTATTCCTGAAATTTGGGATACCTTATGAATCTAAAATATGGGGAAATAATATCCTGATTTATTTAGAGAGATAGCGTAGGGGTGAAGCACTTGCATTGTCTATGGCTAGTTTTAAATCCCTGCAAGACCAGGAGAGACCTTTGTGCATAACCAGGAATAAGCCCAGAGCCCTACAGAGTGTGGCCCACAAACAAGCAAGCAAGCAAGCAAGAAAGAGAAAAAGAAAGATAAAAAGAAAGAAAGAAAGAAAGAAAGAAAGAAAGAAAGAAAGAAAGAAAGAAAGAGAGAGGGAAGGAAGGAAGGAAGGAAGGAAGGAAGGAAGGAAGGAAGGAAGGAAAGAAGGAAGGAAGGGAGGGAGGGAGGGAGGGAGGGAGGGAGGGAGGGAGGGAGGGAAGAAAGAGAGAGAAAGAAAGAAAGAAAGAAAGAAAGAAAGAAAGAAAGAAAGAAAGAGAAAGAAAGAGAAAGAGAGAAAGAAGAAAGAAAGAAAGAAAGAAAGAAAGAAAGAAAGAAAGAAAGAAAGAAAGAAAGAAAGAAAGAAAGAAAGAGAGAGAAGGAAGGAGGGAGGGAGGGAGGAAAGAGAAAGAAAGAAAGAAAGAAAGAAAGAAAGAAAGAAAGAAAGAAAGAAAGAAAGAAAGAAAGAAAGAAAGAAAGAAAGAAAGAAAGAAGAAGAAAAACTGATTTGTGAGGATTCGGGCAAGAAAGAATTAAGCAATATATATAGAAGTGTTGCAGTATACCAGAAAGTAGCACATGATGCTATAAAAGCTAGATAGGGACTCTGCTGTGACTCGGTGACTCTTGTGACTCAGTGGTGGAGCCCCTGCCTGCGGGCATGAGGCTGTCAGTGGCATCCAGGCCTTAAGGTCATCTCTGTGTGTACTCTAAGAGTCACTGTCAAAGGGACCCACGGTGAGCTCCGCAACCAAGTGTGGAAGCACCACGATGAAGTATGTGTGAGTCCTGGAAATTACAGCAAAGGGAAATGAATGGAAGAATCACACATGCAAACATACAAATAGAATCACATGAGCAGAATGACTCAGGGGAGTAGTGGAAAGACACTGAGACACAGATTGCAACTTCTTTTAAAGGACCACACCTAGGGGTGCGCAGTGCTTACGTTTGAATATATGCTTAGGGGTCACTTCTGGTGGTACTCATCATGTACAGTGCTGGGAATCGAAGCAGGAAGGGACATGTACAAAGCAAGCACTTGAACCAGTGTGCTATCTCTCTGGATCTTGAATTGTGATTTTTAAATAGAGTCTTCTGAGGGGGTTTCCTTTAAAAAGTGATAACTGTGTTTATACACAAAACAAACAGTTTGGAGTAATAAGAGAGAAGATAAGGTATTTGAGAGAAGAACATTGCAGGCAAGATGAGTAGAACCAGCATTGCTATTGGAAAGACATGCCTGGTGGGTGATGAAAAAGAAAAGGCTACCAAAATGGAATCCATTCAGGAATGATTAGTAAAGATTGAAGCAAGAGATTGAAAGGGAAGGAGAACCAATGGTTGGTGGTAGAGTGATGTTAGTGTTTTGGTAGTGGGATTGGTGGGGTAATGTTTACTTTAAAGAGGTGTGAACTTGCAACCCTAAAACATCAGAAGTCAAATAAACCAATGCTACCTCAATAAAAGCTTAAAATAAGTAAGTAAATAAGTAAATACAAAAGTAACAATAATATCATTGTGAAAGTGGCCTTTCCTCTGGTTTTCAAGTAGCTCAAGAGCCTTTCCTTTGGATGGAATCTTCTCTTATGTCTATATCTCAGAAGAAATAAAGAAGAAGTACGATCTCACAGTTAATTTGCTTCTTTCTGTTCTTAAAAATTCAGCATCCAAAGAGACACAAAGATCCGAACAGTTTAACCAAGGAACCGTTCTCTGGGTTTTGAAGTAGCAGAAGCCTCTGTGTTGTACCCAGGGATGCTGAGGAGGGTTGCATCTGGCTTCTGGAAAGAAAGTGTACGTAATTCAGTCTTTAGAAATTCATAAGCAAGGTCTGATCACGCCAAGAAAGGTGATGACGCCTATTATTTTCAACAATTATCAGGTCAGAACTTTCTCACTTCCAAATTACCTTGCCTCGTCTCTGATTCATGTAAAGATTCAATGAGATACTCATTCTGGTTTCCAAGTGACTTCAGCATTTCTATAGGGGATAACAGGTAATTAGAAGAAAACATGCATTACAACATAATTTTTAGAAATGTCATCAGATGATATAAATCAAGTAACAAAAAACACAAATAATCTTTATCTCGCTTCCTTTTCTGCTTTGTTAATTTCTTCACTGACTGAAACATTTGATGGTTTAGGAGACAATGGGTATTTTTCAAGAAGCTAACAATACAGCTCCAATATGACAAAATTATACTACTTGACATCCACTCCCAAATGCTAAATCATGAATCGCAAATGACATAATGCACATGAATGTTCATTTTTTCACTTAGTTTAATAACCAAGATACAGGGAGAAAAGTCAAAAAACAGTTCATAAATGTCCAATGATGGATAAAGAAGTTGTGTTTTGTATATAATGGAATAGTATATAAATAAAAAGACAAATATTGCAGTTTTCTGAAATTTGGATAGTACTAGAGAATAAAGTCAGGGAGAGAAGGACAAATACCAGATGATCTCACTCATCGCTGGTATAAAAAGTAGCGAATAATACTTCAAATCATGATAAATAGTTGCCCTTGGTTTACAGAGCTATGAATGCCAATTCTGGGTGGAAATGGCTGGCAGGGGTGGCGAAATGGACTGGATATAACATTGTTAGAAATTCTTAGGCTATTTGCTGGGATGAGGTCAGGTAAGTGTGCACACTCAAGATTATAAGAATTAACACTATTGCAAACATGTGACCCAAACAAAATCCAACTTTTCTAAAAGTACTTTGCTAAGGCAATGGGGGCCAGCTGAGAGGAGAGAAAAGGAGCTTGCACACATCCCTATTGAACAATTTAACACCTGGGTTTCTTCTTCTTATTACTAATTATAATAAATAATATATTTTTCTCTAAACCTCCCAAGGACAGGGCTCAGACTTTCTTAGTGTCACTGTGTCTGACAGCGTCAGAAAGTGTCTGACAACAGATTGTTGAAGAAGAGTGGATAAGTAAGTAAATTAATTAGCATAGAAGTCCCTGTTTAATAAATGTGGAATTTCCCTCCATTTCAGAAGGTGCTATGAGAACAAAAGATGGAAAAATCTATCAAAACTGCCCTGCAAGGGGCCAGAACAAGAGTACACTTGCCTTGCATGTGGCTTACATGGGTTTGAATTAGCCAGGACTGTTCCCTGAGCACAGAATCAGGAGTAAGCTCTGAGCACCACTAGGTTTGGCCCACCCAAACAAACATACAAACAAATAAAAAAAATCTTCCCTGTGAGAGTGGGGGGAATAAAAAAAAAAACTTCCCTGATGCTATTTAAAGGGCTGCCTAATGCACTACATAACCACTTTAGGGCAGCAACAAGAAAAATAATTTAACATTCTGCAAAATACTTTATTCTCATTCAATATTACCTTTATTTTCATTAAAAGCTTTTTGGAACTCATGAGATTTTATTACATTATTTTGGAAAAATTCCATCCATTGATTAAAGTTCTTCATCTTGTTCTCGGATTCCTGAACACTTTGAAAGTCTAAGAATAGGAATTGAAAAAATATAAAACACAGACTCAGTAATGAAATATTTTGTTAAACTATAAGGTCTAATATCATGTTTCCTTAGTAAGGTTCACTTGTAAATGTTTTCAAAACCTATAAAAAGATGTTTGACTATTTTATTTATTCACTATTATTTCCAAAGCCTGTGTCTAAATCTAAAATGTTTTAATTCCTTATGACATATGACGTGCCATATGAATAGAATTGTATTATAATTCAATTCAATAAGGGAAATTATAAAATGTATATCGAATAAAATTTTTAACACAAGACTAATTTAATTCTTTTAATTTTAGTTTTTGCTCAATATGATAAAATTTTGCATTTTAAACCATCATCGGTGAGAAATATGATAGTCAAATCATCTGCTGCAAATAATTTTAGTGACAAAAATTCTGTTCATCCACTTTGTATTGCTGAAGACATGTATGATATGAACAAATCATGAAAGAAATTACATTTTACTTTCAAAGTAAAGGTAGCATATAATCCATTGAGGTAATTTCTTACAAAAAAGCCACAGATTTTACAATAATAATCTTAATCAACCATTACTGTCGACATCTTCTGAGGAGATTATAATCATATAGCTTCTTTGGAAAAACTATGAAGTTATTGAAAACTCACAGGATCAATTTCATCCACACAGTACAATGTTGTAATACTTTCACATTATTTTTCCCCTGTTCCCTGTTAAGTATGGTAACAAAACATTTACTAAGGACTATTATCTGAAATGTCTTAAAGAAATATGATAACATAATTAATGTCTATTAATTCTCACCCCATAACTAATCAGACTTACACTGAAAAGCAAAGAATCCGCTCATCAAGAGGAGCACGCTGAAGATTCCCAGGATCACAGGAATTGTTCCATATAGACAGGTGGGAAAAGGGGGGGCTAAGAAACAGAATTAATGGTAATCAGAAATAACGTGGACTCCTGTCATGGAAAGATTCATGTCATTATTTCCCATTTTCTGATCTTAAAATGTCCTCAACTTTCTGAAAAACAGCATCCAATGTGTTGATTTCGGTAAGCTATTAGCTAAATGAGAAAAACTCTATTGAAGAGGATGTGCAAAAAAACAGTTAACACAGCAGTAGTGGCTATTCTCTGAAACCTGTTTTGTTTTCCCATTGGCCTTGGTTGACCTGGATTTTACAAGCACTCCCATCCCAGTTGTCGGTAGGTTCACAGTAATACATGACTTTCTCTGTTGAAACTCTGCATACAATTGTTGAAACATTGCTACTTTTCTGGAGGTCTGGAATTTCTCGCATGCCATTCAGATAGCCTATATGGTCTGTCACCAATAAGGGCTTAGAACACTGATTCTCCAGTAACTGCCCCTAGTGCAAACTAATTTGATTTGTGGGGTCCCAACATATTGCTGAGTGGAACTGCAGAACCATGGAAGTCTACAGGAAGATGAGATTTGAACTCTGGAGTCTGGGTTGCCTTATACTCCACTTCTTGAACATTTTCCTTCTTTGATTATATTTGACATTCTTTCATTATCCCAAATCTTAGTGATAGGTACAATGACACACAGTATCCTATGAACTACCATTGAATCTTCAAACTCAAGTGTGTTCTTAGAGATGTCAGCCCAGATAAAATCTTCACTTATAGGTATTATAAAATATACTTCGATATTCATCTTAAACTTTCAGGTCAGATTAAATTATTCTTTTTAATATGATCAGGTGGAGCATATGTTAAATTATTTCAAATATATGTAATTGGGCCATAGAGAGCTCTCAAAGGATATGCTTTTCATGCAGTAGACCCAGGTTCATTCCCTGGAATCACATGGTCTCCTGAGCACTGCTAGGAACCCCTGAGCATCCAAACATCACCAAGTGTGCCTCCAAACAGCAATTAAAAATAATGAATATATTCAATAATTAAAATAGAGTAAATTTGATAAATAATAGTATATCTCTCTCATAAAGAATCACAGTAGGGCCAGAGAAATGGTACAGGAGTTAAGGTGCTTGCCTTACATGTGGCTGACCCAGGTTCAATCCCTGGCATTATATATGGTTGACTGAGCACTACCAGGAGTGATCCCCAAACATAGAGCCAGGAGTAATCTCTGAGCAAATCTGGACCTTGTTCAGAAACCAAAAAACAAATTTAAAAAGTGGAATTACAGTAAATCTTAGGGAATATTTGACCTATATTAAACTGGGTTTAGATCAAGCAATATCAGTAATTTGTCGACTGTCAGAAAAATAATATGCTGTATCTCCATACTTAGTGACTAGGGATAATGTTATTTCCCACTAAAATAAATGTACAGACTGAAATGTAAGAAAGGTATTTCCTTATAGCTCAGAAGAATTGTGGTTCTGAAACAAGATGAAAAACTGCTATCAAAGAATTTTTTTATAGCCCTAAGGTCCCAATGATTGGTTTGACTTTTTAATAGTAGAATTTGGGCTTATCAAACAGAGGCAATTTTATCCCCTAATGAGGTCACCCACAAATATCTTGCTGTCTCAGCTGAGGGGTAGGTTTTACTGGCATACAGTTAGTAGGATACAAAAATGATTCTGAATAACCTATAGTCACTGAACAATACCCAACAACAAAGAGTTACTTATTCCAAAATGTCAATACTCTGAAATTGAGAAGTCCCATTGCACTAAATGATGTCAATTTCAACTATGATCAAAAAATGACAATCATGAGAGGATTAGTTTTGCAAATTGATTTCTTAGTTGCACATGAAAAACATGCAAACACTTTCCATGACCTTATCATTAAATTTGGTTCTTAAGATATTAAATTTTCAAAGCATCTCAGTGAGAAAATGTTTTATTTTCATTCTATGTATTTTGAATTTTGAAAAAATCTCTATATAGTGTCTAAGTTTAAAACTACTCAAATTAGTGGCACTAAGCTAGAACTTCAGGGTCCGGGCATGTGAAAAGGGTAACAGAGAGAAGAGATTTGACTAGGGACTGGAGTGATAACACAGCAGGTACGGCATTTGCCTTGCACGCGGCCCACCTGGGTTTGATTCCCAGCACCCCATATGGTCCCCCGAGCACCCGCAGGGGTAATTCCTGAGTGCAGAGCCAGGAGTAACCTCTGTGCATCGCCGGGTGTGCCCACCCCAAAAAAGAGATATGAATGAAAATGGGTCTGTAGTATATACTTTACCTTTCTTGTTGGTGTGCTCAGGAATTTGGTCCCATTCATCCTCCTGAGGAGAATCTGGAGGAGGAGGAGGAGGGAGGGCTAGCGATGCTTCTGGCTCCACAGCAAGAATTGTCTCTGTTTCCTCTGTGATTTCTTCTATCATAGGAAATATAATTAGTTTATAACCTTATAAAGTAAGTGAGATTGAAACTGAAAAGCATTTATAGTATTTCAAAGATGCTAGAAATGCAAATATAATAATTAAATTAAAGACATTCAAATCACATTTTTACCCCACACCTTATCTAGGTCTCCCAAAAAGTACAGCGAGATTGGATCCAGTCAATAAATAGACAGTTAATTATTTCCTGATTTACATTCAAAAGCATTTGTTCAGGCATAGTTAGGAAATTGTCAATGAAGGATAAGACATTTATATCCCAGTGGGAATTATAACCAGCATTGAAAAAAGTTTCATGCTTATAAACATAGCAAAGAGAACTTGAAATAAATAATAAATACCTGTTGGCTGTTCAGAGTCTGAAGCATTTGACATTATGGAGCCTTCTGGATGTTCTCTTTGTCCCAATGGTGAGTGAGAGCCCTCAAAGGTACTCGTAGGTGAATGAAGATATATTTCCACCACTATTCTCTACAGTTAAACAGAAGTTCAAGTGTAGCCTCCGCTGGGGCAGCTGTATACAGCAGTATGACACCCACTTACTTTGGTTAAAACCACAAAGGAAATGTTGATCCATAACTGGATATATCTCTAGTGCATTTGTAAAAATAAAAGTTGCCCTTATTTAATTCAGATATACACAGCATGTCCTGTCATGGCACCTGGTTATTAGAGGTAATATTTTATGATTCTGGAAATAAATTAGGAAAATTCACGTCTATAAAATAAATTAATAATAATTTAGTCATCTACAATAAAATTTCTCTTGAGACTTGAATATGTACTGAAGAAAAGTTAAGCTATATGAAAACTAAAGGACTAGGCCACCAGAAGAACAAGGTCAATAAATAAAAAAATAACCGAAGGTCAGTTAATAGAAGGTAGCTTTATGTGATAGCCTATAAGAAATCGCATTTGATGGCAAGGAAGCATATAAAATCTATATATTTTCAGATACAAACTAGTTGACTAAGTCTATTTATTACAATCCCACCCTAGATATTTATCAGCAGGAAGCAAGCTAAAGCAAGCTATTCATGAAGTGTGTCTTTTTCTATTTCTTTTGCTCACATGAATAAAACTTGTTATTTATGGTGCTTATAAATAGATATCATGCATAAATAAAATTAGACATTCAAACTCTTTCTCTTGAGGTTATAACCTCATAGAAACCAATGTGTACTTAAGTAAATTTGGTTTAAACCATACAGGAAGTTTATATATAGTCAGCTGTCATTAATGTTCCATCTATCCATGCCTGGTAAGAAAACAGACAGTTTTGCAAGTAATCTTAAAACTGTTGATAGCCATTAGTATTTGAAAGGCAAGAATGAATGACTGAAAAGAAATTGTAATGTTACTCTTTTCTCAAATATCTCAGTAAATTTCAGGATAGAAAGTTCAGGAGTATATTTTGGTATTCAACATATCTTTATTTTAAAACTTCCCTAGTATCGAATTTCTGCTTGTATTGTAGTATATTTTAATTTTGCATATATTCTGACTCTAAGTTTAATTTGAGTATACTGTGTTAAAATGCAACAAGTTAAAAATCATATTTAGAAAGATAAGAATGGTACTGATCATTAATGTTTGAATATTACAGATACTAAATATATATTAACATATGATATAGAAATATTCATTATTCAAATTTTGAATAATATGGCCCTTCAATATGGACCTTGTTGTGTGATTTATACTTCTTCACTAGTATAAGAGGGTATTTTAATTTTTAGAAAATTATACTGATAATTTAATTATACTGATAATTATACTGATAAATAAGACAATTAAAATGATGATTGCTTAATATAAACGAAAAACCACTGTACATATCTTTAGAAATTCTGTTATTGTAACCACACTTTACTTCTCATAGAAGATTTATAGCTTTTAATGATTATTTGGTTTGGTTCGGTTTGGGCTTACTTCTGGCTCTGCTCTTGGGGATTACTCCTGGCAGACTCAGGGGTCCATATGGTAAGGCGGGGACTGAGCCCCAAGTTCAAAACTGAGTTGTCAACGTGCAGGAAAATCATCCTACCTGCTGTTCCATATAGCTTTGGCCAGCTTTAATTTATTATTTTTATGTAAATTTTTGTTATGCCTCTTCATCTGACATATGCCAAAGTGGAACTGAAAAAAACATAATAACTCTTGAACTTAAGTGTGGGCAGTCCTTCCACAGAAACTTAACTTTAAATTAAATTAACTTTTCTTTCCCAATGAGAACTATAGTGAAGCTAAATTTGATTAATGGTCATTCATTTTGAAACTTTTCAGGATGACTGGAAATCTTGCATTTTCCTGGGATGCATTCTTTGATCATTTAATAATTATGATATCCTACTTCAATAAAAGATTTTTCAGCATCCAAATTATACCACTTTCTTACTTTTCACAAAAATAAAATGCTGATAAAATGAAATTAAGACAAAGCATTTTGTGCAATTTCAATACATTACAGCATTTGTAGAATTATATACAAATTAAATATTTTAAAGGGTTTTTTTAAACAGTATAGATTTATTAAAAACAAGTGAGAACAAAGATGGTTATTTCTCACGTGTTTCTACATGACCATTATTATGTGTGGCTTTATCATACCCATGCCAATTAAGAGCAAAGACTGTAATTGTGGGTGACCAGAATCGCTTCACTGTAGGGAGTTCAACAGAATAGATTTTCCTGCTGATCCAGAAACCTAGGCATGATTTGAACATGTTTTCCTCAAATTTTAATTAATAAAATGCCAAGTATAAGAACCTCCAACTATCTTGTATGGCAATCTAATTCAATAAAAGTAGAGGCCCTCCCGTTGATCATCGATTTGCTCGAGCGGGCCCAGTAACGTCTCCATTGGAGACTTTGTTGTTACTGTGTCTGGCATATCGAATACTCTCGGTAGCTTGCCGGGCTCTCCGAGAGGGTAATCCATAAAATATGAAACAGCAAAGGAAATCGAGATAACACTTATTAAATGGTAACAGAAAGAAAATGCTGGCACCTAGCAGTAGGTTTGTTCTCTGCATCTCATTCTTGCTTCCAGGACTGATCCGAGTTTCTTTGTCCTGCAGGGCATGACATAATCAGCCTTTGCTGGAAAGGACCTCACTGAGTGAATCCCCTGGGCCTGCTTTCCCTAGGGCAATTCCAAGGCCAGGATTTCCTTCTGTTTTCAAATCACACTGGGCTGTGCTCAAGGCCAATTCCTGGCTTGCCTTTAGGGATCACTCTGAGAACTGCTGGTATTTTGTTCTTAATCTAATATTATAATTCCCCCCTTATTCACTTATCCCTGTTATCCCCCACTGGGGTCTGGGTTTGGGAAACAGCTGAATTCCACTGTAAAAGATATCTAAAGCATCCCACTGAGGTCTGGGTTTGGGAAAGAGAACTGAATTCACTGTAAAAGATACCTAAAGCATCAACATTGACATCATTCAAACTCTGCTTCTGTTAGGGAAGTTCCAAGGAACTGAAACTGCAGGCCAAGGTGAATGGAAGAAAATGGAGTTGATTTTGTTTATTCCAGCAAACTAAGGGTTCAGGTCACCTTGGCAACTCTGGGCCCCCAACCAAGGGTCCACTTGTGTCTCTGTAGGGCCCAGCCTCCACTGATGCCAGGAAGATCTTCTAGGCGTAGGCCTCAATTCTTGCAGCTTCAGTGTTATTGGATTTATAATTTCTCAGAAATTCCATTGCCATGAGTCCTCTCCTATCTACCAGCCTGCCTCAATTCTATAACCTTCACATCTTTACATATTATACAAAACATAAAGGGCTTCAGGATTCTCTTAGATAATATTACAGTTAAGAGTTCTGTATCTAATCCTTCTGGGATCAACCAGTGTATCTTAAATTACATCCATGAATCTGTTGTGTGGATTCTGCTTTGTAAATTAGTTAACAGGACATGCAGATTTGTAGAGAGATTTACAAAATCAAAGATAAAATGAGCAAGTGGAGTGAGGCAGAGAGAATGTAGGCTAATTCACAGAGTATTTTATTGAACAAAAAACCTATTTTACAGCCTTGGGAAGGAAAGAAAAGAGATGACAATACTGGGAGAGGAAGCCTCAGCTACTCTTGCCACCAGCTGCATTTTAGCTGTCTCCATCTTACATTTCAAGTATTCCCACAAATTTCTAGGCTCCCTTTGAGACTAAGAAAATTTAAGTTACTAGTTTCCCAAGGCTGTAAAATTCTGCCTCAGGCCTTAGTCTCATTGGAAACCAAGAGATAAAAGGCAATCTTCAGGCAAATGTCCAAACAGATAACTTAAAAGGGTTTGAATAGACAGCCCAACATCTTGAGTGGAATTGCAAAATACGGAGATGTTAGTCTTGCACTAATAAGGAAAAGCAGCTTAGACAAATAAGCTGGCTGTGAGGGTACCGGTGCCTCCAAGGAAGAGCATCTGTACATGTGAACAGATGTTTTGTTCCCAGTTTCCCAAGTTTTGTCCCATACACTAAGTGAGATCCTAACCGCACTGCCATGTGTTTCCCCATGGCCCACAGAGTAGAGTATGGACTTCCAGAGCACTGCAACTCTATGGGTGTGTGCAACACAACCAAGTGTGAGGCCTTTCTGTGTGACAAGGGAAGGAGTGAAGAACATGTGAAGAGAATGTCCATCTTTATTGTGCAGTAAAATTAGTGAAAATGCAAAAAGAAAAATGAGCTAAAACTAATTTTAACTCATGTAAATTTAACTCATATCTAAAACTAAATTTAACTCATATCAAAGTTCAATGTTTTCCTTTATATGGAAAGTTTAAAAACTTAATATATAATGCACATATACTAAAACTAAGGTAATTCTGATTTTTGAAACCTCCCTAAATTACTGTACAAATATTATGTCAATATACTATAAATGATATGATCTGAAAATACTTTTCATGTGTTTTCACTGCGATTACCAACTTTAATACAAACTTTAATGTATAGATAGATGATGGGGCTGGAGCAATAGCATAGCGGTAAAGCGTTCGCTTTGCAGGCGGCCGGCCCTGCTGACCCAGGTTCAATTTCTCTGCCCCTCTCAGAGAGCCTGGAAAGCTACCAAGAGTATCTTGCCCGCACGGCAAAGCCTGGCAAGCTACCCATGATGTATTCGATATGCCAAACACAGTAACAACAAGTCTCACAATGGAGACATAACGGGGCCTGCAACAGCTGTCCATATATTTATTACATGAGCGATAGCACAGCAGTAGGGCGTTTGCCTTGCACGCAGCCAACATGGCCGACCCGAGTTTGATTCCTCCGCCCCTCTCGGAGAGCCCGGCAAGCTACCGAGAGTATCTCGCCTGCACGGCAGAGCCTGGCAAGCTCCCCGTGACGTATTCGATATGCCAGACACAG